TTAGGGCAAAGCACGTAGCAGCTTTCACTCTGCTGCTTATTTGCAGCATTTTAAAGATCTGTAGCACATTCAGAAGCACATAATTAAGAGGAAATAGAGCTCATCACAGACCTGAATTGTGTCAGAGATAAGTTCTGTGGTTCCCCTGCTCCATACTCTTCTTACACTGTCCTTCCCAAGACCAGATATGTTGTGGCCTTAGGAGCTCTTGCAGATCCTAAGCAAGGTACAGTTTTCAGTTGAGGGCGTGAGGTTATGTGATATGGCAGGTAGTTGCCTTGTTTCTACATTTCCTCATTCTTTTCAGATTTTTTATTAACCATTATACATGCTTCGAAGTCTAACACCCCTCCCCCCGCGCAGTACTAGGCAAGCTTAACTATAATAGAATGTCTTTTTATGGGCATGCTATTAAAAAATCTAAGTTCTATGAAGTACTTCTTTCTGTTATCTAGGAATAAATAGAATACTACATTGATAAAATACTTCTTTCAAAGAGGTGAAAAGTTATGAGAAGATGATTTAATATTTCTGATTCTTGAGGAAAGAGGACTTTTATATTATTGGAAAAGATCCAGTTGAATAAGTGCTACTTTGCTGTATCTACTGTAACTTGATTATATACTAGGCTGGTTATAACATTTGCTAATACCCTGAAAATGCTTCCTTCTGAAGAACTGAGAAGCTTACTTAGCATTGGAAGTTAATTATGAATACCAGAGTTAATTTATGCTTTTGTATGCATACTTTTATACTAGTAACTCTATGATATTAAATTTTTCCTTGTATAATTTTCAAGCGTCTTGTTTAAAATGTGCTCCTCACTTGATAAATTATGTGACAATTTCTTTAACTCTTTTTCAGATCTTTGAAAGAATTTTGTTTATCTGGGCAATACGTCATCCAGCCAGTGGATATGTTCAGGGCATAAATGATCTTGTTACTCCTTTTTTTGTAGTCTTCGTTTGTGAATATATAGGTAAGATTTGTCTTAATACTGAATTATGAATTGGTACTGGTTTTGGAACAGCATTTTCATTTTAATCTGAATAAGGATTTGGATTAGCTACTCAAAGCATAATTTGATATATGAATTTTATAATAAATTTTGTAATTATAAATCTGTATAGTTCTATTTAAATATATACTGAGAAGCAATCAGACTTTGTTTAAGTAGTTCAGGAATCTTTCAGGTTTTTATTCCAAACAACCTCCCCCTGGAACAAAACCCAGCCAACCAAAATCCTCTGTAGGAGTTGCAGACAGCGTTCTTGTTTGTCAGATCTGAAAGCAGGGGAAAGAAGCACAATCTAGCATTTGCTTTCATCTCGATTTCTAGTTAAGTGTTCACTGCTCCTGATGTTTTTTTCTTCTTAGGTGGTTTTATTCTCCTTTTCTCTCTCTTTTTCATGTTTTTTGTGAAAACTTTAAATTGTACATATGAAATGAGCAGGTGTTTAAAAAAAACCCAAACCCAACCAAAACCAACCACCACCAAAAGAACCCACACACCAAAACAAGAAAAAACAAACTCCAACCCATGAAACTAGGAAGCCTAACTGTTAAATGAGTGGCAGGGAAATAAGAGGGAACCTATTAAATTGGATCTGTGGCTGAAAATTAAGACAGCAGTAATCAAATTTCTCTGGTTAAGAGCTCTGCTTTTCTGGGGCTCACAACACTACTAACAGTAATAGCATAAACAGGTGCATTTCTGCTGTGTTTGTGGCTTTATATGTGAATATACTTCTTGAAAACTTTTTTTGGCAAACTGCTATTGGTTAAATGTTCATCTCTTACTAGAATACCATTCATATTTAAGTCTTATAAACATTAAGAGTGTGGTTTATCATTAACAATAATTCATTCATAATTTGGATATAACTATGGCTATAAAAGGTAAGGCTAAACAGTAAAAATAGCCATGTTAATCTGGCTTGAATAAAAACTGCTTCCCTTGTATTTGTATTTGTCATGCACACATACAATGAAAATACACAATGCTTAGATGTGAACTTGAGCAATGCGTTGTCTGGCTACTTCAGTAAGGCTGTATATAGTGGATTCTTCCTACTTTCTCTATGCAAGATACCCATTGCTGTCTTAATCCAGATTGATTAGATTTAATGAAGGACAGATTATCCTTGAGTGGATGATAGACTATCCATTTACTCATTTGCATGGCAACACCTCTGTTGCTTTGTTCATTTCTTGTTTCATAGGGGACATTTCATTGCTAAGCAACTAATGAGAACTACTGCTGCTGTCTCCCTAATCATCTCTTAAGTAGGGTAGAGGCCTACTCCTGAGAGTACTTGCAGTTTCTGCTTTTTGCTCCCTCATTTGACAGATAATGAAAATGTTCTTAATGATCCTAGAACAGTAGGGTCTCTAGTAGACTTTAGGGTTGTTAATTGAAATAAGAAGTTCAAATGAGACGTGATTAGAGAATTGATATTCCATGTTAAATAGACCATTTAATTAATATGGTAAATAAGTTTGTCTTTACCACCAACTTACATTTGGAGACCCTGGTGATTGTTAATGTATTTGCCAGTTTGTCAGTATTTTCATATCAGAGAACATAGTTATTCCAGTAAGCGTCCAGTGAAGAAAGACAAAGCTCAAAAACTAACAACTGTAAAAGATATTTTGCTACTGAAAATGTATGAAACTCAGAAATCTGTTTTCTAAAAGCTTGTTTAAAAGCTATTATCTATATAATAAGAAAAATACCGAAATGAAGGTATTTTCTTCAGTGTGGTAGTGGTCCTGGCTAAGTGCTAACAACAGTTATTTTCCCCAGTCAGGTATAAAAACTTTCTAAGATTTGTCTTTAAATATCTTTTTGATTCAAGTCTTTTTAATATATTGAAGTTACACTGAGTAACTTTCAGGTTAGAAAGAATAAAGGTGTGCATTTTACTTAAACTTGAAATGAGGACATGAAGTACTTGAAAAATCCTGAGATTTGTAATAAAATTATAGAAGGATTCAAAATTTAGACTATGAATTGTGCTTAAGTAGTTTAGATAGAAATAAATTCAGAATTGCAGAAGTTTCATAGCAAAAATATTTAAGCTATTGGTGTATTTAGTATTTACTGTAATAATAATCTGTATCTACCTTAGATTTTTACTCTAGATCTTATTTCTTGCTCTGATTGAGTATTGGTTTGCATCTTACATTGCTTTCTTTATTCCTTTCTTTTAACTATTGATTTTTGTATTTTTCTCAATTTAACCGAAGCCTTTGTGTTGCAGTTCTGAGTCACTTGGGTCCTGATTCATGCCATTGAAAGTGCTAATGCCTTTTATTTTAGGTTCTTTCTGTAATTAAAAAAGAAAAAGAGGTCCTAAAGGATTATTAAAGAGTAATAATAATAATAATTTTATATATATTATTTACTTTATACGTCTATATATTTTTATATAAAAATAAGTTTATATAGAAAATAATTTATTATTATTATTATTATTATTATTATTATTATTATTATTATTAACACTGCCATTAATAATAAATCTGCTGATTAGATCATCTGATGGTATATCCTGATAATGTTTATATATGGTTTGCAGTTTTGTCAAATATTTTGATGGGAGGGAAGCAATATTTATTTTAGCTTTATGACAATTGAGAGCATCCTTAATCTTTAACCTTGCATAACCAGTGTGTGACACTTATTCTAGTGATGGGAGTCTTTCTGCTCAACTGAAGACATCCAAAAACCATTTGGAAGAGTGGTGTTAAAGAACTTTTGAAGATACAAATGACATGTATGGAAGTGATAATTTACTTGCTTAGTAACATTTTTTTCATTCAAATCTGAATGTCAAAAAATCAGTTTGCGGGTCTTTTTATAAGGCCCAAAGTCATAGATGTTTTGATGGTTTAGTATGGATACCTAATTTTATGCACATAGGTTCACACATTTATAATAAGTTGAGTGACTGAGTGTAGGAATTGAATATGTTAAATCTTAAGAGCATTCTTTCAACCTTTCCAGCAGTGTAAGTATGATGAAAGTGTAATTTGGTAATGTCTCATTAGTTCCCCACTCTGCAATAAAAGCAGAATACTGTAACATTTTCAGCAAGTTAAAACTTGGTTGTCAAACCAAGGAGAGGCACAACTGCAATTAAAAGAAATTTTCGGAGGGGTTAGGTACTGGCCCCTTCTGGAATACTGTAGATTCAGATTAGGATTTCTGGTCTAAATTAGGAGGAGGAATTTAAACCTTAGGTTTCTCATACCAGCTGATTGTGTATGTCAATCTCAACTTTTTTTTTCCCTCCATGAAAAATTCTAGAGATCTGTAAGCTTATTGTGCTATAATATAATAGCTTCTTTGGAATTTCAAACGCTAGTGGTACAGGAGAACTATTTCATGCTTATGTCTAACCTCCTACATGACATAGCACTGGTATAACGTGTTGTTAGAACAAATGCTAATTACTGTTGGTGCAGTTTTCCTGAAAGCTCTGTGTCTTTGTAGCGTATTAGTTTGTGTCAAAATGAATCTCGTCCATGCAGATGAAATTCCAGAGGCATTTTTGTTAATGACAAGATCTACCATGTGACTGCTTACTGTTTGCTGGCTTAATGTGGACAAGGACATTTTGCACTGGATTGCAAGTTCTGTTTCAAGTTGCCACATGTTGCTCTCTATACACCCTCCTGTTGCTGTGAGCTCCTGTTGATCTACATTGTTTGCAGATACTAAGTTGTGCTGCACAGTTGTTTATGGATTCTTGCTCATGGAGTCAGCTACATTTCCACTATATCTGACATTTCACTGCTACATCTGCATTTAAGTAATTCACTGGGCCTTGTGTGTAGATCGAGAACTACAGAGAGGGCCTGGATTTATTCACCATTCAGAGAGATGAAAGCTCAAGAGAAGCACCGTCATAATAAGGATGCATGCCAGGCCATTGCTATGTGGGATGGCTGTGTGAGATCACTTTGAGACATGTAGCAGTGTTGGATCAAGAGGAAATTAGGAGTTAGCAGGAAGTCAAGGGCAGAAAATGAACACTATTGTAGCACTTTATCATTTTATGTCACATCAAGAATGTCAAGAAAAATGAGGCTGCTGAAGAGGGCAATGGCGATTGAGATATTGCCTGCAATCTTCTTGCAATAGAGGAGCTTGAGACAATTTCAGGATCCTTACAAGAACTCATGAACTGAAAACTTTGGAAAGAGTCTTACCCTTGTAAGTATTTTTCTTGTGTTCTTAAATCCTTTTGTAGAAGGCATTAAATGCAACTTTTGTTACCTGGTGTTTTTTAAATTGATACTGCCATGACTTTATGGAATAAAATCCTAATGGGATTGGGATGGTGTTTAGTCCCAGACCACCGTTACTGTGAGAACATAAAGGTTCTTTGGTCCTGGACAAGCTGATCTGTCTATAGCTCCCTCACTTACCTTTCTTTCCATTCCCTCTCATGTGTCACAGGAAGTCTTCCTGCCTTAAAATGAGATTTCATACTGGTTATTGCCTTCTTCCCTTTTCAGCATATCTGCTGCAAATAATTAAATTTAAAACTATTAATTTTGGGTTTTCCATAGTTTGTTGAATGCAGTATCTAAAATTGTTATTTTCATAGTATAATTGGAGTAACATTTCAGAGCATTGTGTCATGGCTGTATCTGAGGTAGTTCCCCAGTGTTTCTTTATAAAATATGAAAAAGTTGTCAATTTGGCAGAGATTTTTTTTTTTTTTTTAGGACAGTTGTAATTTTTGTGTAATGAGTAAATCTGTTTAGAATGTACATAAAACTGAATTTCTGAATGATGAGGCAGTAAGCCAGAGAGCAAACAATATTAACCCACTTACACCAGAGAGCTGCTAGAAGATTTTTCTAATACTTACAGGGTTAGAAGGTAAAATTTTGTTTAGCATGCATTATTTCCTTTACAAGACCAAGCAGAAATCTTGACTGCTGCAGAATGGAAAGTAATTAGAG